TATATATATATATATATATATGTAAAGGGCATAAAATATTTCTGGCTTTTAGTAAGAACTCAATAAATGTTGGGAATTTTTACATTGTTACTGCAATTGACTATGATTTTTTTAATTCCTTCTCTCAGGATCAAATAAAACAGCTTGTGAAAGGATTTTGAAATGTGTAGAGCACAATAAAATATTATAAAGCATTAATACCATTGGGTAACAATTGTTTTATTAGTGATAATTGGATTGCTTTTCAAATGAAATAAAGATTAAGATATGGGGGGAGACGTTCAAGCTCAGAGTTGCGTTCACTGTGCTTGTTTTTAACAAAACTGTGTATGTTTGATGTGTTCTGGATGCTTGCTTTCTAGACCTCACCATGTTGGATGTAACCACGTGGGTCTTTGTGGCTGTTCTTGCTGCCGTCATTTGTTTGATTCTCGTCTGGGTGGTGACTTTGAAAGGCTACAGGTACTTCATCTTCTCTCAGATCCCTCCAAAATCATGTTCGTCAGGGATAACGACCAAAAAGATATTACAACAGTGGTGGAAACATATGGCAAGTTCAAGCAGCTCATTTTAATCACTAGTCATTCAGAATATCTTTTATCAATGATAGAAAACATGGACAAATGGCTTTGGGGAGGTACTTTTGCTGTTGTGAACTAGGAAAAAGCTGGCAAGAACAGCTAAACCTAAGGAAAGGTAATAATCCAACTAATATGCTAAATTCAGAATCAGTCTCTTAAATTAGCCAAAGATTATTTTTCTATGTTGCTGCAAGTTACTATCAAATCAGTTCAAATATATAAGAGCCCCTTATGTAAAGAGTAGAACTTATTTAAGGAGTATTCAAAGCTGGGGCATTTCAGAAGATCACCATGTCTGACTTCTAAGTTACCTCTCAGTGGTTTTATACTTGCAACCTTTAGAGTGGTAGTTGGGCTCCAAACCATCTGTGCCACTCGGGGACTTTGTGTAAAACACTGTAATTATCGTTTTCCCTGCTGAGTGTCCTGTCCAGAGTTCCCCAGACTGTTTCACCACTAACCACCCTTGCTCCTATAGCAGGTGTTTCAGGATAACACTAATCTTTCAAAAATTTCAAAGGGAAAACTGAGACATTTATATCCCATCTCATGCATTCTTTTATAGTATGGTGACCTGCATTTTACCACCAGTTCCTGGGCCCAAAATAAAAGGATTTGATACTCATATGCTGGAGGTAGGTGCAGAAGTGGCTGTAGTGAAATTCACTGCTTTGTAACTTTATTAACACGGCACGTTCACACACAGTCTGCATCAGTTCTGTCAGGCCATCTTGGTGGTTCTTCCCCACTTGTCCTTCCTCTTCAGAAAATATGAACAGAAAGCTGTAACTAAGTGACAAGGGTGTAATTTTCATGTTCCTGCTGTGATACTATTGAAAGAGATGTGTGTGTGTGTGTGTGTGTGTGTGTGTGTGTGTCCAGATATGGCATGTTGTCAGTGGGTTAAGAGAATGAGTCCTTCCAAAGTGCAGGAAGAGCCAGAGATAAATGTACTAATTGTCATCAGAAGACAAAGTGAAAAAGTCAAGAATGCTTAAAAACACAAAGATGTTTGCTACAGTCTCTAGATTTTCCTCACTCCACACCATTACTCACCTCATGCCATTGTCTCTCACTTCACATCATCACCTCAATTCACACCATTGCTCATCTCACAATTACCTTGCTTCACACTATTACCCCATTCCACACCATTGCCTCATTTCACATCACTGCCTCACTTCACACCATCACCTCACTTCACACCATTACTCATTTCACACATTACCTCACTTCACACTGTTGTCCCATTCCACACCATTGCCTCATTTCACATCACTGCCTCCCTTCGTGCCTTACTTCCCCCTCCGTGTCTCTCTTTATACCTTGTCTCACTGCACACAAAACCTCACTTCATACCATCACCTCACTTTACATTATTACTTCACTACCTTACTTCACACAAAACCTCGCTTCATACTGTGCCTCACTTCACCCCATTGTTTCACTGTACACCAGGTTGTGTGTTTGATAATACAGGAATGTGACATAGGAGCCCAATAGGATGTGTCTGTTCTGACATCATTCCATTTGCAAATGTTAGAGCAGAGAGTAGAGTCCAAGCATTAGGACTTGTAGTCCAGTGCTCTAGACAACTTCCCATTTCTCACATTTACCTTTCTATACAAGCATGAATGTCTCAGCTAACTGAACTACAGCCTCACTTAAAGCTGGATCTTCTAGTTACAGATACTTAATGATAAAATAACGGCTTTTATATTTAAAATGTTTTCCTATTTTTCGTTGTATTATGTCTTAGTTTCTTACTGCTGCTATAACAGAAATTTATTTTCTCACAGTTAAGAAGTTTCAAAAATTATCAATTGTGACTTATAACTGACCTTCCGGCAAGTCTTCAGAGACTCTGCATTGCACTGAAGGAGACTCCCCATCACCAGAAGCAGGTGGATTTGAACCACTTACCTTTGGGTTGACAGCACAACTCCTTCCCACTAGGCCATAGTCCAAATCTAGGGCATGACTACAGTGGCAGGCCCTTCATCATCACCAGCCCCATGAGGGCTGTGTCATTTCTTGACATTCTCTGTTGTCTCTCCTTCTGTATGTTTTCTGCTCTTTTAATAACTCAAAAGTGATTAGTTATAGGACTTTAACCCCCTTAAACCAGTATATCCTCATTAACATAAAAGAAAAACATTACAAGGGGTTTCCACAGAAGGCAGGCAGGGCAAGCAGCTACCTAGACCCTTCAAAATAAAGACAAGAGAAAGAAAATGTAATAGATATGCATGGTAATCCTGGACCATAATCTTCAAAGAAAATTAATAGAGAAACAGTTCAAGTGAAGAGGAAAAACGAACAAAAATATCAAATAAGAAACTAGATGGTGAGTTATGAATGGACCTGACACATGGGAGACGTTTTGAATCTTGGCAAAGTTTTCTAATTGGGGCAGGAACTCCATGCTACTTCAGTGCCCACACTAGTGACTGAGGGCTGACCAGGAAGTTGTGGTCTTCCTCTTATTCTCCATACCCTCCTAGTGATGCTCTACCTTACCACCACCTCTGCCCTGACCTGGGCAGACAAGAGTCTTTGTGGATCTGGAGCTGGGTCCATGCCACCCTCACGTTTCTAAGTGTACATGCTTTCCTTCTCCTCGGGTTGGCAGTGTATCATTTCCCTGGCTGATGATCCAGCTGCCGCCATCTAGGTGGGCACAGATACCATCCCTGGCTGTGCAGCCTGCTCCTAGGCACTGTTAGACAAGCATAAACTCCATCTCTGGAGGCCCTGATCCTTCTCTCCTTTGCAGTTGACAGAAAGTGTTCTGACAGGGCACATTTGACAGTGTGGCACCTGTCACTTTTGGGGGGACATGTTTTCTACCTCTGAGGACCTTCTGGTGTACTGTTCTTGACCAAGTGTGCAGCTGGTAGTCTGCCCCCATAGCACCTCATGTGCTGGCAATAACTTGGTCCCTGAGAAGGCACCCTATGTTCAAGCACTCCCCAGGCCAGCAGAGGCTGCGTAGTTGCCTGGGTGCCCTGTCCCTGGACACCCCTTAGTTTGGCCGGTACTCAACTGCTGCCCGCCCAAGCAGTCTCCTCCTGGCTAACCTTTGGGTCTATAGAGATTCTGTCCCTGAGTGAACACCCTGCCCTTAACCAACTTGTGGGCAGTCAGAAACTGCCCTCCAGACTGGATGCCCCACCCATAGTCTTATGGACCAATAGAAACTTCATCCTAGACAAGACAGCTTGCCCCCCACCTGCCTCAGTGGCAGCAGGATGACCAACTGGGTGTCTGTCTCCCAATTTTATCCATTCTTCTTCATCCCTGTTTCTTTCCCATTAATTCTCTTTTTAATTTTTTTCTTTTTCCTTTTTTACTTCCATTGATATTCCTATTTTGTCTTCTTTTACTGTCCTTGTTGCATGTGTCCCACCTTGTGAGAGATAGCTACAGAACCCACATTGCCATGCCACCCACTTACCTTCTGCAGCTTCACCCCTTGGGCAAATCAGTACCAACACCTGCTCCTCCATCACCTAACTGCCTACAGAGAGCAGCCAGCACCAGCTCAGCCTACCGTCAACGGCTCTATGTAACCAAAGTACTGACACTTGCTCTGATCCTGCATCACACTCACCAGGTGAAAGGAGACCAGACACTAAGTGCCATCTAATTGGTGAGCTGAGTAGCATACCTGCCCCATGGAGTTGTTTATAATCACACACAAATGGAACAAGAAGGCTCAAATAAGTGACCAAAATACATGACTATAAGATCCTTCAGATGATAAAATGCTACTAAAACTACCTGATAAGAAATTTTAAATCATTCTGCTTAGGGTACCTACAACAGACTGAGAGAAAGATTGAGGTGACAACAAAAACAAACAAAATCAAGGAAAAAATAAATGGAAATATAGGAGAGTAACACTAAAATTCCAGAAATAGATAATTCACTGAAAAAAAAAAACAAAACAAAACCAAGCTTGGAAGCAGGAGTGGCATCCACTTCCAAAATAGCTTGCCTCCAGAAATCCTATAAACTTGGAGAAACAATGAAAGTTATACAAGTGTTCAGGTCTTTTGTTTATAGGGTCACTATAAGTCATCTATGACTCAACAGCACTTACCAATGACAACAAATACTGTAATTTCAGAAATAGATAATTCACTGGAAAGAAAAAAGAATGGAATTGGATCAATAGAACAGAATATTGAGAAGATTAAAGACTAATCTCTCAATACTCATGTTAGAGGATCAATCAGAAAGGATGAAGAAAACCTAGTAATTCAGGGATACACCATTAAGGAGTAAGTTCTTTCCCTTATATGTGTAATTGGAACTCTAGAACAAGAAGATATTCACATCACAGCAAAGTAAAGAGAAAACTGTTGAAGATTTGATGAAATCAAAATTCCCTAATTAACTATATTATGCCAATAGCACAGCCTTGCTTGCTGGAAGTGAAGAAGACTTGAAACACTTACTGACAAAGATTAAAGAATACAGCTTCCAATGTGTATTACATCTCAAGAAAATAAGACTTTTCAGTATTGGACTAGTAGACAACATCATGATAGATGGAAAAAAAGATTGCCGTTATCAACAATTTCATTTTACTTGGAACTACAATCAACACTCATGCTAACAGTAGTAAAAAAATTAAAAGACATAATGCATTGGGAAAATATGCTGACAGGGACCTTGCTGAAGTTCTAAAGAGCAATGATGTCCAATTAAAGACTAAGGCCATAGCAATTTACACTGATAACCCAAGTTCTACATGCCTTTGGTTTTACAAATCTACCAGCAGTTCTGTGGGAAAAGGCACACAATCTCCTCCCATTACAATTTTTATTCTTGGAAATCAAGTGGAAGGCCACTATGAATTGGAACCAACTCAATAGCCGCAGTTGAAGTTTGAGAATTTCAATGAAGGAGACACAAATAGAACAAACTCCACAAAGACACAGAAAAACTAAAAACCACAATTGACCAATGTGATCTCCTAGACCTACATGTTGTTATTGTGTGCTTTCAAGTTAGAGCCAACTCATAGCTTAAATGCAAGTGGGTTTTCATAGGCAGTAAATTGGATGGAAGGAGATTGCCTATCTGCCTCCGAAACAATATCTGGTCATTTCAAACCACCTGTTTTGACGTTGGCAGCACAACTCCTTAACCACTAGGCCACCAGAGTTTCCCATAGACATGTATAGAACAGCAGAGTCTGTTCAATAATAAAATATTTCTTTTCTAGCACATATGGAATTATTTCCAGACCAGATCATGTTTAACCACAAAGCACGCCTTGATAAACTTAAAACTATCGAAATACTACAAAGCATCTTTTCAGTTCACAATATCTGAAATCAATAACAAGAAGTAAAGATTTCAAAATATCAAATGCATAGAAACTAAATAACATGCTGCATAAAACTATTGGGTAAGAAAAGAAATAAAAAGTGAAATTTTGAAAATTACTTAAAACAAAGGAGAATGAGAACAACACACCAACACTTTTGGAACATCACAAAAGTGGTGCTCAGCAGACAATGTCTAGCAATAATTGCACATACCACCAAATAGGAAAGAACTGAAATCATCATCTTAACATAACATCTCCAACAACTATGAGAAGGAAAAAAAAACCACAACCAAACAAACCAATCCTGTAGTCTCCAGAAGAAAGCAAACAATAAAGGTTAGAGCAGAAACTAAAAGAAATACAGGAGTTTGAATTTCAACACATATTTTGGAGGAACCCAGATCAATCCATAACCAATAACCCAGTTGCTATTGAGACCATTCCACTTTGTGGTGACCTTTGAGTGTTAGATTCTCATGACCTGTGCTCATGGGATTTTCAATGCCTGCTTTTTCAGAAGCAAGTCACCAGAGTGTTCTTCCAGTGTGCTTCAAAGTGGATTCAAACTTCCAAGCTCTAAGTTTGCAACTGACCACATTAACTGCTTGCACCCCCCAGGGGCTATGAATCCATCCATAACACTTTACTCCTAATCTCCCTGAGAACGCTGCCAAATAAGTAGGATTAATTCCTTCTTACAAATGGAGAAAGTTGGTTTCAGGGAGCAATTTGTCTAAAACCATATACCTAGTAAATGACAGTAGAAGTTCAAGTGGCCTAGTCCCTAGGGAGTTGTATTGCTAACCCAAAGGCTGCAGTCTCTGGTGCTTCAAATCCAGTGTCCTCTGAAGGACAGAGATATATACACCCTCCTCCCATTGTGATTTCTAACCTCAGAAATGCAATGACTGGCTATTAGGACTCCAAACCATCTCAGTGGGAAAGAATGAGAGTAAATGACAAAGCCAAGATTTAGGCACAAATCTCTGATCTGTTAGAGCAGCAGAGATAAGGAGAAGTTTTAAAAAAAGAGAACAAAAAGAGTAGGAAAAAGAGAAAAAAAATTAAAAGAGAGTAATGAGAGGAAGAAAATGGGATAAGAAGAATGTGAGAAATAAGGAGAAAGGAATAAGGAGAGGACAAGTGAGATCAGAGAGAGGGAGAGGAAGACGGAAAGAAAAAGAAATGGCAGTAGAAGAAAGAGAACTGAATGATCTTATGATAGCCAGCTTCTAGGAAGGGAAGGAAGAAACTAGAAGTCATCAGGCAGCTGCCAGAATCGTTCTGCCAGTGATCCCAAAATGCTGAAACAGTCGTGAGCATGATGTATCTAGATGTCTTGCAGCTTTTCATTATTTATGCAGTAGTTGTATGTGTATTTAACTGTATGTTTCATGTTCATTCATTAAACTTATTATGAGTCCTTCAAGAGAGACTAGCTTAAAATTGAGAGTTGAATTTTTAAAACATTGTCGGGTGGCGGTGCCACAGAGTCAATCAGTGTCAGTTGGTAACAACCCCATGGTCCAGAGTAGGTCTGCCCCCGTCGGGTTTCCTGGCCTCTAATTTTAAATAAAGGAGGGAGCCAGATTTCCAGGAAGTGACCATAGGGGGCCTGGCACACAAACATCTGGATTTGGGGGATTCTAGAAGGCTGTTAGCACATCCAGCTTGCCCATGGTAACAAGCAGATCAGACAAGGCTCTGTTGGGATGCCAATTGGCACCATTATGATGCTAACAATCATTTTTCTTTGTGTTTGTTTCAATAGAAGGGCAAGTCTGAAGAACTCCTCAGCGCTCTGGGATGTCACAACTTTCCTCCCACTTCAGATTGTGAGGACTTGCTGGTGGAGTTTTTAGAAGTGGACGACAGTGAAGACCAGCAGCTAATGCCAGCTCACTCGAAAGAATATCCCAGACAAAGTCTGAGATCCATTCACCTGGATCATGACACTGACTCTGGCCGAGGTAGCTGTGACAGTCCTTCCCTTCTGTCTGAAAAGTGTGAGGAACCCCTAGAAAATCCCCCCATCTTCAGCACTCCTGAGGTCATTGAGAAGCCAGAGAATATTGACACAAACACTTCTTTGACCTGGCATCCCCAGGACGTCCGCTTGGAAAGCAAAATATCCTATTTTCACGATGACGGTTTCAAATCTTCAACATGGCCTTTACCACAGCTACCCAGCCACCACAACCCCCGATCTTCTTACCACAGCGTTGCAGATGTGTGTAAGCTGGCTGTGGGCTCTGTGAGTGCAACCACCAGTTTGTTGAACCAAGCAGAAGAGGCTGAAACAGCCTCTCAAACCACTGAGACTGGAGGGGAGGAAAAGATAGACAAGGAAAAGGAGGTGGAAAGTGTCTGTTCGAAAACTGATCAAGACCCAGAATGTCTGCTGCTCCAGCAGAAAACCCCTTTCCAATCTGCAAAACCCTTGGATTATGTGGAAGTTCACAAGGTCAACAAAGACGGTGCACTAACATTGTTGCCAAAACATGAGAACAGCGACCAAACAGCGATGGCCAGCACTCTGGAGGTCAGTAAGGAGTATGCTAAGGTGTCCGGTGTGATGGATCACAACAACATCTTGGTTTTAGTGCAAGACAGCCAAGCTCCAGTCAGGGCCTTATTGGAAGAGCCAACCAAGAATAGCCCTCTACAACATCCACAGAATCAAGTCGAGAAAAACCAGGCCTGTTTCCCTGTGACACCAAATAACTGCAGACTCCAGTTAGGGGGTTTGGATTACCTGGATCCCACATGTTTTATGCACTCCTTTAACTGATAGTTGGACTCATGGAATAATTGATTACAATGTGATTTTTTTTTTCTTCAGGTAACACTACAGAGTCAATGAAATGCAATCTGATAGAAAGTATTCGAGAACCCAGTTAGAATGACACTACTAAAGCTCATTTGCTGTTCACGTCTTTCCATATGCTCCATTTCCAACCAGTTCCCTTTCTCCAACAGCTGATTCTAGAACGAATCCTTCCATTGCCTAACTGTGATTTGTATAGTCACTCTTTGTGAATAGATATAAAGTCATGTCATCAATGAAATAAAAAAGCACACTGCTTAGCATACCTGAGGGTCAACGCCAATAGGTATAATAATAAACCCTTTGGAAGCATCCTTGTAGTTTGGCATATGACAGAAAGATGTTAAATAATCAAAACTGATTAGCAAAGAAGGATGAAAAATTTGGAGAAAATGCCATGGAAACTGTTTTGGGTAAGCCAATTGCTTAACATACTCACTCCTCTTTCTCTCTATTAAATCCTAAATGGTTAAAAGTTGCCAAACACGACACCCATAAAGAGACAATGCAGTCTATAGCACATGATGAATTGTTTACATGGCTCTATCCGTAACTGCAGATAGGCAAGTAAAAATGATGCCGCCTCCAGTTTTTCCTCAAAATAGTTTGAATATGCTGAGCATGGATTTACACACAAACCCTGCTCCCCACTTTTACTTCATTCTAAAGCCTCTAAAGAATATCGTTTTCAAAAGTGACATTTTCTTATGTAAGAGACAGATAAGTTTCATTAGTAAAGCCCTATAAAGGGTTTCTTTACCTTATTTCAAGATTGTAGATAATTTCTATACTCCCGAGTTTTCTCTTGGTGTGGAAAAATAAGAATAAAAAAACCTAACTTTCATTTAGAATATAATCACAGCCGGATGCTCATGGAAATACTGCCTTACTGTATATACAAATTCTACTTTAATACAAACCCATAAGTTTAACAGTGTATTTTTGAAGACTATTTTTCTATCACATAGGTAAAATAAAAGACTATTTTCTATCTTCCCAGTACAGCTGTTTACGTATTCAGTGGGTCCAGTATTTTCTGCTACGAGGTTCTAATGAGTAATTTACAGTATGTAGTAGAATATGTAGTCTCTGATTGTGGAGAAAAATGCCATCTTAATCCACTCGAGAATGTAAGGTGGATGACAAAATTGAATTTCCAACTTAGTGTTGGATAATTTCTCTGAGGTTGCGGGGCTTCCCCCCGCCCCCTGACTCCAAAATACTTTAAACAACACAACAGCCACCACCTAGGGTTTTAGAACTCTCTACAGACCAGAAATTACTTATATGATTATCAGGCATTTTAGGGTTTTTGTGTTTCTATGCATGAATCTTCATAATGCCTCCTTGAACAATAAGAGTGTTGACTTCTTTCCTACTGGTTCAGAGAGAGGACTGTTATTTTATCGTTTGTTTTTCTGAGCATTCCTGGGCAGCAAAGACATTTAAAACAAATCCAGAAGTTAGTTATCTCTCTGGAATAGATCCACTTGAAAAATCTTGGCTGAGAAGGAGAGGACACTCATGTCTAAATAAAAATTCTAGGAAACCAGGCATTCATGGAGTGGTGGAAACGGCTCAAAGGCCAAGAGGATCTCATGAGAATGTCCACATGAACAGGCATGGAATCAAAGATCTGGCTCTCCATTGGAAAGAGGGTGCTCCTGACTTACTCGTCCCTTGGCCAACCTCCCTTTGTTTTTCACTTTACCTAACAGTCCAGGCACAGCAGGAGCCCAGATCACGTTGTTCCACTTGTCTTCACTAGCTGGACATGGAACACCCGAACTCACCTCTGTGAGTTAACATGCACCACTACAAAAGGCCACATGGACAGAGCTGGACTCAGAGGTGCCCTGATATTTGAAAGTGAACACATTGCCAGTGCTTCCACAATTGTAAAAGTAGATCCGAGGCCCATTTCTCAACAGCTGAGGAATATCCTGGGAGGAAAAGCAGCTTTTTAAAAAGTTGCCCAAGTTCATTCAAAGCCCTAGGTCTCCTCACAGCTGTCCTGTGGACTGGCAGCATCAGTATCCCCTGGTCAATGATTAGACGTGCAAACCCTCGGACTCTGCCGCAGACTTACAGAATCTAAATCTGTGTTTTACTGAGCCCTCCTGATGATTTAAAAGCACATTTTAGTTTGAAAGACGTTGCCTTTCATGAGCATTTCCACTACACAGTATTTTAGTGCGTGGAAACCATCCTCTCTTAGTACTGATCAAGCCTCTCTGACTTGTATTTCACACTGCTCAGAATAAGGGGGGATCCAAATAGAAGGTGTTATTGAAGCACACACACATGCAGTTGGTGGTTTAAGATTCTCATAATAGTGGAATACTGGGGAAAGTATGTCCAACCTCCAAAAGGAAGTGTTTCCACCTTGAGAGGTGTTATCAAAGACCTTTAATGTCAATTTTGACAAAGCGTTTCCCATCTAGTCCATTCTTATTTGAGAGATGTATCAATTACTCATACAATTTGACAACTTGAAAAGAACCTATTTTGACATATATGAAAAAATAATGTATAGCTCAAGAGTCATCATGATCTAATATCCATAGTCCCCACTGCGATGGGAAGAAAAAAGCTATTTAATAAGTCAAGACTGTAATTCTATGGCCAATTAAGAGTATTCATTTGAATTAAGGTTGGGGGGAGCAGTTCTCATTCTTTCTTGTCAAGCAAAAAATGCCATAAGGGCTTGGGAAAGATTTGTTAACAACGTGAAATATGCAGCTAACACAGCCTTGTTTGTCTAAAGTGAAGAAGCATACTTGCTAAAATTCAAAGACTACAACATTCAGTTTGGATTAAAGCTTGGATAAAGAAAAAAAATCAGACTAATAAGCATCATGACTAATAGAGATAATGTTTAAATTGTCAAGACCTTCATTTTATTTGAGTTTACAATCAACATCCATGGATTCAGCCTTCCAGAAGTCACACAACATATTTCTGTTGGCTAATCTGCTGCAAAAGACTTTGTTGAAGTCTTAAAAAGCAATGATAACACTTTGAGGACTAAGATACACCTGGTCCAAGGCATGGTATTTGCAATCACCTCATAAACAGTTGGACATTAAGTTAGAAGACTCAAGTAACATTAACACCTTTGAATTACAGTGTTGATGAAGGATCTTGACTACAGACTTCCAGGAGAATGGACCAATTTGTCTTGGAAGAAGTCCATAGAAATAAGAATGACAAACTTCTTTTTATGTACTTTGGGTGTGTTATTACTGCAGAGCAGTCTTTGGAGAAGGACAGCAGGCTTGATAGAGGGTCAGAAGAAGACTCCCCCAACAGGATGGATTGACACAATCGCTGCAATCATGGACTTGAACATGGAATGGTGGTGAGGGTGAAGCAGGACCAGACATAGTTTCATTCTGTAAATTGTCACTACAAGTCAGAACTGATTTGATGGCACCCAACAAGAACCACAGTAAACAACTATCAAACGGGGGGTTGGGGGGGTGGGAAAAAAACACCACAAAACGGAGACCAGGAGATCTGAGTTTTAGTCCTATGTTTCCTTGGACCGATTAAACCTTGTGTTGGCCTCATGTTTCCTCACATTCCTCATGAGTTTCCTCCTGTATGCGGGGAAGTGTTTGACTAAATAATCTCAGTAGTCCTTTGCATTTCCAACTCTTTGATTCCATGACTCACTGAATATTTCCCAGCAAAGCTAAGTCACCCAATCTCCTGTATTATAATTAAGTTCACAATCAATTGCTCTTTCTCATAGAAGATTCCTCAGCTCATTGTCCTTGACTTCTTAAATCGTTAGTTCCAGTAGATCTTACTATGTTTCATATGCGTTTCCAAAAATTATGTAGGTACATATTCAAAGTACATATGCAAAGATGTGTTTAGAGAGAATAAGAATGATATAGAAAAGAGGTGTATTGAATGAGGCATTAGGGTTTGTTGTGTTTTGTTTTTTTACTTTTTTTATAAAATGAGCTTTAGCTCACATAAGCCATGATCATTCCTGGTGGAGCCCATCAGTCCTAACTCTCTTTGCTCTTATATCCATTTGCTGCTTCTGACATTTTTTTCCATCTCTCATGGTGGACCATTTTGTGGTTGACAACCTTCGACTCAGAGATAGAAAATGTCATGCTTAAAATCAATCACTAAGTAGTCAAGGTACGAAGCGTATGGAGACTATTGTTGTTGAGATAGTGGACCATCAAGCTGACCCTCCAGCAGGTTTTCAGAGGCAGTCAGTCTCACAGGAGGGGATTGCCCATCCTTCTCCCACAGAGCAGCTGATGGATTTGAACAGTTTCTTTGGGATTACAATTCAGCTTCTTATACTAGACTACCAGAGCTCCCTATGTGGGGATTAGGTATAGCCAATGGGCACTTTATGAAAGCTTATGACCCAAACTACAAATATTCTCTGTTCACATTAATGCAGATGGGCGTGGATACCCTAAAATGAGCACAAGTTGTTATTAGCAGTGTCATTGTCACTGAACCAATTCTATATTCTCCTAAGTGCCTAAGACCAATCCTGGTCGGCAATTGCGGACTAAGGACTGTGCTGTAACTGGTTTGGTCCAAAGTAATCAATCCCTTACTATATGTTCAGTGTCCAGAAAGTTCACCTCCTCGCCCTGCAGTTATCCGAGTGACTCCAAGAACTCTACAGGCGAATAAGCCGCCTGAGGCCCTGAGTTCCAGGGAGCAGATGATATAGTTCCAGGGAGCAGATCTCTAGCTCTTGCAAGAGGCATGCCCACCACTTGCAGTAAGCCTTTTCTTTTTGTAAGTTTCTCCTAAGATTAGATAGGAAGGAGACAGATTTGTATACGTTTTACAAAGTGCCTTGCTTTACTTTTCTAGAAAGGTTTACTTTTTCTACGAGGAAAGTATATTGATTGGAAAGTCAAATTCACTGTTTGTATTTCATTACTTATGTAAATGAATGGAGAGACAAAACAAGA